CTGCTCAAGCAGAATTACGAAGTGGCCAAGGAGGTACTTGTCCTTTTTCCCGTCCAACCTGCTATGGAAGGAGGGGGGTCCTTACTTGTTTTATTCAGGCATGATTTTCTTTTCCTTTTCATCTTGCTCTTTATTTTTTTGGCCGAGTTGCTATGCTTGGAAGGGCGTCCTTTCCACTTTCACTTGAACAACGCCAATTTCCGTAATGGCCGAGTTGCTATGATGGGGAGGACATCCTTTCCAGTTTTACTCGGACACAACTTCTTACCACATCTTTTCTTATTTATTCTCAGACGTCCACTCTAAAGCCTTCGAGGAAGCAGTCGACATCCGCTATTAGGGACGAGCAAGTGTCCAAGTTCTGAAAAACAGTTGCGTCTAAGATTGCCCCCGCGACGCAAGGGGCCAATATAAAGTCGTGGACTGCTGATGACATTTTAAAGGAGAGCAACTCCAGCCAGCATCTGGTGGGGTCTCCAAGTCCTTGAAGCCACAAATGGAAAAGGTGGCAAAAAAGGAATCCATTTGAGAGGGCGAGGAGGGAGAGTCGTCCCTTAATTAAATGACCGGCAACAATGCCTCGACTCCGCATGTCGAGGACTTAAATTTTACTGGGGAGGAGCATTAAGCTCCCCAAGAGGCCGAGGGGTCAAAACCACAACCTCGAGAAACCGGGAAGCAACCTCATCCCACTCAGTCTTCGAAGGGGCGTCCACAACCACCCTTATCTCTTATGGTGGGTACAAAACTTGATCTTTAACTTGGCTTTTTTATAAATCAACTTTGACATTTGTCTAACTTGTTTTGTGATTTGCGCAGACATCCTTGAAGAGATGAACGTTCGAGTACTCGACCAATCACTAACCGAGGCCGAATGAAAGGCTATTCGAGAGGCCATGATTAGGGACGTCCCGCAAGAGCCATAAGATAAGTTCCGAGGAATTCATGAGGGGTTCCTCGGACCGATGCTATACTGCAGTGTTTAGGTAATCTAGCTTTACTGAAAATTTAATACATAGTTTATTTTTACACTCAACTCCTGTTACTGACTTGTTGCTGCTCTTCGACAGCTCTTCCTTGGCTCAATGCCTTTCTGGATTGGCGTGACAGTGAATGGCGTCAAATTCAAGCAGCTTGGGATAACATAAAAAAGATGTAGGATGCCATCACTGGGACGCTTGCCATTCTGGAGGCCAAGCACGCCGCGCCATCAGCACCCTTAGTGAGAAGTCAGCTAGGCAGGCCGAGGATATAGTAACAATGGGATGGGCCCTTGAACGAGAAAAAGTTGCTCGTGAAGCCATTGAGAAAGAAAGAGATGAGGCGGTCGCCAACGCCTCTCAATGGAAAGAGGGCTTCGAAGAGTCCGATAAGCTCAAGGTTGAACTGGAAACCGGTCGTTAGGCCCTCGACGCCACCCTTAAAAAACGGGCGCTCTCAACCAAGAGGTTGAATGTATTAGAAAGGTTGTTAAAGACCTAACTGAGTAGCTTAAGGCGCCCAAAAAAATCATTCCCCAAGAGATGGTTCGGATAGAGCAGGCGGCCAAGGCAAAACTCAAGAACCGGTTCGAGGAAGCCTTCACCAGGATATTCGATAGTAGTGAAATGTCATATTACCTCGCGCGCTTTGTCAAACGGCTAGATCATATCTCTTTCAAAGAGTAGGTTGCCGCTGTTGGAGAGGTCGCCCCTCAATTTGTTGTTACACCCTCTCCTTCTTAAAGTGGCCATAGGGATGATGATGAAGATAAGGAAGAGGAGGAGGAGGAGCCTGCCAAAGAAGATTGATGAGTGGCATTTATGCCACGATTTATAGCTCATTTTGATGGTTTTTCCCCATGCTTGTAGCTTATTTTTGTCCTCTTTTCTATCTTTAGTACCTTTCTTTATTTCCTTTTCTTTCTTAGTTTTATCCCTCTTTTTGTCTATTTTCTACCTTGGTTTCTTTTGTTCGTATTTTGCAGGAAACCTTATCGTTAAGCTGAGGAGAGGAGGTTTATTTATGATGCGCTACGCGACCATAGAGAGGGTGCGCAACTCTGTGTGCGAGCGCGCATAGAGAAGAAAATCAGAGCACAATTCAGTAGCAATGCACGCCTGCTGCGGCCAGGGAGAGGGCGTGCACCCATACTGCGTGGGCGCGCATAGAGATGAAGAGAAAAAATAAGGTCAAGGAAGGAAGTATGCGCGCTTGCTGCGTGGCTACAGAGAAGGAGCGCAAGCATCGTGCGCGGGCGTGCATAGCTGAGCTTCAGCTTTCATACTCAGGCTATTGCGGGCACACAGTCACTTTGAGAGGGCGCGTATCACAACTGTGCGGGCGCACAAACATCGTGCGGGGGCACGCATAGCTTTGTTCCAGTTTTTCAACCCACCATATTGTAGGCGCGCAGTTACTTAACGATGGGGCGCGTCTCGATCGGTTATCTCTTATTAGGCCATTGTATAAATAGCTTGTACTCTTTCTCTTTAAAAACTAATTAGGGTATTAGCTCAGCATAATTTAGGGTTTTTAGCTTAATATAGAGAGAGAAACACTTTAGCTTAGCTTTGTAGAGAGAGAAAGTGAGATTTTCACCATTGTTGATGCTTGGATATTGAAGAGAAAGATCATCTTTCTTGTAAGCATTCATCTTCAATCAATGAGCATTCTCTTACTCTTTCCTCTTTACTTTGTCTTTTGATTTTGATTTGTTTAGCTTTGATCTTCTTAATTGCTTATTAATCATGCTTTTTATTGTTGATTTGATGATTAATTTGTTGATTGGAATGATTAGTGAGTAGTTTTCTTTGCTAAGAGTGTGGTTATAATATAGCTGAAGCTTGATCATGTTTTAAATCTAGAATTTGATTTGATTGTGATTAAAGTCTTTGTATGCTTGATGTTCTTCAATTTGCTTACAAAATGCACGTTAATTGTGAATTGATTCTTGATGATGTGATAGCGGACTTTGCTAGATTCATTGTTGTCGATTTATGCTTGATTGTACTTCCTATTATATGGTTCTAATGCGATAGCATAGAGCCTATGTTAGGAGAAACCTCTTGACCACGAAAGGTGGTTGGACTGGGTCTTATTTCGACATTAAAGTGTGCTTAGTTTGCGATCAATTTGATTCTATGTCTATGTATGTTCAAGTGAATCCTACATCTAATCATTCCCCTTAGTGTTTGCTATATAGATTTTACCTCGTACTTTCGTTGCTTTTAGTGTTTGTTTAATCGATTCTCATCTCTTCGAACTAGCTTAATTCGTGATAGTGATTGTAGTGTTAGACCATTCCCTGCGAATCAACCCTTTGCTTTCCATATACTTGTATCACAAACTACTGCGTTAGTTCGGACTGATCAGATGTTTCGTCAGTCCAGCAGGTTTTTGCTTTAAACCAATGATCACAACCATCGATGGCATTGTTATTGGCGGAAGTATCGTCGACAGCGAGAAACTCGTTGATTGTTGATTATATATGTCCATGATTTATGCTTGTATTGGCTTGATAATTGCTTGAGATTCTCGGATATTTCAAAAAATGCCCAAAAAAATCAATTTGGGGCTTTATTGTGTGATGTATAATTGTTGAAATTGATTGTCCTATGTTATTGTATGTTGAATTATCAGCTTTTGATAACAAATGCATGTATTTTGGTTGAGAAATGAGCATGTTAGCTTATACCCATAAGCTTAGTACGTGACCTTCAATGGTGGTTCCACCAGTTTTGACCTTCAATGGTAGGAAGACAACTGAAAGTCAAACATATTCAAATAAAGCTAATTGAATCGAATGAAAGTCAAACACAGTTAAATAAAGCTTTTTGAATCAAATGAAAGTCAAATGCATTCTACAAAGCTAATTGAATCAAATGAAAGTCAAACACATTCAAACAAAGCTTTTTGAATCAAATTAAAGTCAAATGCATTCAACAATGCTAGTTAAATCAAATGAAAGTCAAACACATTCAAACAAAGCTATTTAAATCCAAAGAAAGTCAAACACTTTAAACAAAGCTATTTGAATCAAATGAAAGTTAAATGCATTCTACAAAGCTAATTGAATCAAATGAAAATCAATCACATTCAAACAAAGCTATTTAAATCAAATGAGAGTCAAATGCATTCAAAAATGCTAATTGAATAAAATCAAAATCAAACACAATCTAACAAAGCTGTTTAAATAAAATGAAAGTTAAATGCTTTTTACAAAGCTAATTGAATAAAATGAGAGTCAAACACATTTAAACAAAGCTTTTTGAACCAAATGAAATTTAAATGAATTGAACAATGCTAATTGAATAAAAGGAAAGTCAAATACATTCAAACAAAGCTTTTTGAATCAAATGAAAGTGTTTGAATGTGTTTGACTTTCATTTGATTCTAATGCTTTATTTGAATGTGTTTGACTTTAATTTGATTCAATTAGCTTTGTAGAAAGCATTTCACTTTCATTTGATTCAAATAGCTTTGTTTAAATGTGTTTGAATTTCATTTGATTCAAAAAGCTTTGTTTGAATGAGTTTGACTTTCATTTTATTCAATCAGCTTTGTTTAAACGTGTTAGACTATCATTTGATTCAAATAGATTTATTGAATGCATTTGACTTTCATTAGATTCAAATAGCTTTGTTTAAATGTGTTTTACTTTCATTTGATTCAATTAGCTTTGTAAAATGCATTTGACTTTCATTAGATTCAAATAGCTTTGTTTAAATGTGTTTTACTTTTATTTGATTTAATTAGCTTTGTAAAATGCATTTGACTTTCATCTAATTCAAATAGCTTTGTTTGAATTTGCTTGACTTAAAATTGATTTAATTTGGTTTGTACAATGCATTTAACTTTCATTTGATTCAATTAGATTTGTTTGAATGTGTTTGACTTTCATTTGATTCAATTAGCATTATCGAGTGCATTTGACTATCATTTGATTAAAATAGCATTGTTTGAATATGTTTGACTTTCATTTGATTTAAAAATCATTGTTTGAATGTGTTTGACTTTCATCAGCCAGACAAGTACCAGCTATCAAATCTGGTTTGAACCTCAGCCAGACAAGTAGCAGCTATCAAATCAGCATTTTCCACATCAGAAAAGTTCCTGAGATTGAACTTTTTTAGGTTTTGCTTTACTTGTTTGAGTTTTTGTATAACTCTAAACATGTTAGTACCATGAACAGGAGAATCCCAAGCCTGTTTCACAGTTTCCAGGAACCCAGGACAATCAACCCACATGTTAAAAAACCGAAAAGGCTTCTTGCAAGCAAACATACTCACAATACAAGGATTGTTATCCATGAGGCCCTTAGGCAGAAATTCAACAGAAGTATTCTTAAAGCATAAGTCCCAATCATGATTAAAGAAAACCCTATCAATTCTAGAACAAACTCTACTATCTCCCTGCTACTTATTATTCCAGGTAAAAAAGGATCCCATAGATTTAGCCTCCACCACACCAATTCTCCTAACAAAATCCCTAAATTCCTCCACCTCCTTTAGGGTACAAATAGAACCCACTCTATCTTCCAAATTCAGAATATTATTAAAGCCCCCCCCCCAATAACCCAAGGACCCTTAATAGAAGAAGCAATCTCATTAAGCTAAAGCCAAAGCTCTTTCCTATAATCAGCCACAGTGAAACCATACACCTAAGTCCACAAGAAGCTAGTCTTGGAAGAACTGTGAGTAATGAACAAGTGAATCAATTGTCTTTCGATCCTCACTACAAAAACCTGAAAAATAGAAGGAACCCATACCACCCAAATTCTACCACCCTTCACTTTACCATGATTTGTCACCACAGACCATTCATCATTGAAATTACTGAACACTTTATCAAATCTTACAGCTTTCACTTTAGTCTCCAACAAACCAAACAAACCCAAATAATGATGTTTCATGAACCACAACACATCACAAATGGCGCCAGGGCAATCAATCCCCCTGATATTCCAAAAGCCCCACTTATCCATTAAAAGAATATAGGAAGTTCCCCCCCCCCCTCCACATCTCCATACAAAATACATTCCTCTTCAACAATTCTCTGATGCACAGACATATTACTAGCTGGAACAATAGTTCTGTCATCAATCCCCATTTCTTCAATAATATCAGATTCTAGACCTCCAAACCGATTCATAGTAGAAACAGCAGTAGCAGGATTCATAGTAGGAACAGCAGTAGCAGGAATCTCATTTGGTTTCACTATTGGCTTCCAAACTTTCTGAGGATGAGCAGGGCCCCCATTAACCTGAGCCCTATTCTGTCTTCTAGCCTGAACTTTGTGATTAGGACAATCAGATCCCACATGACCTAAGCCATTGCAAACAGAATAGGATATCGATTTCCATTCAAACACCACCCTTTGCCTCATCAAATGACCACCTTCATCCAAAAATTCAATATACTTAGGAAACACTCCATTTACAGGAACTTCCACCATGACTCTAGCAAACGCAATCGTTTCCTTAGTGGATGTAACCCTGTTAGACTTTACAGGATTCCCCACCAGGCTAACAATTTTCATTAGGGCCTCCTTCCCCCAAAACTTCAAGTCCACATTAGGCAATCTAATCCAAACCGGAACCTCATTGATGCATTCCGCCTTGAGATTAAGGTCTGGCTCCCATCTTTTCATGATAATGGGTTTCTTGTCAAAAGCAATAGGCCCCATATTCATAACCTGTTCTCTAGCCTCCTTGTTCTTGAATCTAACTATGAACACACCCTCATCATTCGAAGAGATTTCGATCAATACCAAACCGACCCCAAGTTCGTCTGAAGAAGCTACTCATCATAGAAAAGGAAGACCTAGCAGAAAGAACATAGCAAACAATAGCAGTCCCCCAAAAATCAAGTTCATCTTTCACCTCATCCATGGTAATCTGCATTAATTTTCCCCTTTTCTCAGTGGAAATACAGTCCCTATGAGCAGGAGTACCATTTGAAAGGTCCAAACCCTCATCCCTTGATCCCTTGAATAACCCACTCCAAGAACCTTGCCTAACAGAGGAGTTACCAAGAACAGGGGAAGGAAAAATGGGGTACGCGGGCTAGGGTTAAAATCATTCTCAAAATTCATCCGATTTCCAGAATTATTATTAGAAATTGGATCAGGAATTGAATTCCAAACATCAGAAATCCTCCTATTAGCATCAGCAATCATTATCAAAGGAGATGGATTCACATTAGCATTCAAACAATTACCCGCCATTGAAGAAGAAGAAGAGTTGATTACCTCCAACCACCGATTAAATTCCTCTCGATCTTGATTATTAATGTCTTCAAAAACTTCTTTGATAGGAAAATCCTCAATTAAATCACCATCCAGCCAACTCGTCATCGAACCCACATCTTCATCTACAGCAGGTTTAGTTGAATTCATCTTTTTACAAGCCCTGACTTTGGATCTATGCTTCTTTTTAGCCTTCGAGGAAGATTTAGAGGATGAATTCTTCTTTCCTTTGCCTTTCTTGCGATTAGCCATGGCTCAAATTAAGAGTTTCTCACGCAAAAAATGGCGGCAAAAATCTCTCTCTAGACTTTCTTTCTCTAGACTTTCATTTAATTCAATTAGCATTGTTGAATGCATTTGACTTTCATTTGATTCAAAAAGCTTTTTTGAATATGTTTGACTTTCATTTGTTTCAATTAGCTTTTTGGAATGCATTTGACGTTCAATTGATTCAAATAGCTTTATTGAAAGTGTTTGACTTTCTTTTGATTTAAATAGCTTTGTTTGAATGTGTTTGACTTTTATTTGATTCAATTAGCATTGTTGAATACATTTGATTTTAATTTTATTTAAAAAGTTTTATTTGAATGTGTTTAACTTTCATTTGATTCAATTAGCTTTTTAAAATGCATTTGACTTTCATTTGATTCAATTACCTTTTAAGAATGCATTTGACTTTTATTTGATGTAAAAGCTTTATATGAATTTGTTTGACTTTCATTTGATTCAATTAGCTTTGAAGAATGTGTTTGACTTTCATTTGATTCAAAAAGCTTGGTTTGAATGTGTTTGACTTTCATTTGATTCAATTAGCATTGTTGATTTCATTTACCTTTCATTTGATTCAAAAAGCTTTGTTTAAATGTGTTTGACTTTCATTTTATTCAATTAGCTTTGTAGAATGCATTTGACTTTGATTTGATTTAGATAGAGTTGATTGATTGTGTTTGATTTTCATTTGATTTAATTAGCATTTTTTAATGCATTTGATTTTTTTTTTTTTTGGTAAATAGAAATTTTATTACCAAAAGGAGAGTACAACAAACAAAGAAAGTTGCACTAGCAAGAACAACCAAACTACACAACACCTGAAGGTCAAACCTCCCCTAAAACTGTCCAAGGATCTAGTTTATCCACCTTCTAGGAAGGGTTCTAAACAGAGCCAAGAACAAAACTGAGTCCAGGCACCTGAGCACCTTCTAGGAAAGGTATCAGGAACAAGGACCAGATAAAGAACCAAACCAACCCAAAACTAAACATAAGCAACTATTACAAAAACAAAAGCAAAATATTACAAGCAACTCAAAACAGGCTGCAGGCTAACAAAACACAGGCTGACAGGACACAGGCTAGAAACCAGAACAGGCACCAAGAACCAGCACCAAAACCGGATCACAGAACAGAAAGCACAGGAGAACCAGCCAAGAACAGGACAGAGCCAAACCAAACCAACCCAGCAAGCCAGAAAACAAGAGACATAATGAGCACAAGAGTTCAAATTATAACCCAGCAGGAACACATCATTACCTTATCTTACAACCAGAACACCTAAACATCAGTAGAAACACAGAACACAGCAGCACAACTAGTCAGCAATTATGATCAGCTGTTGACTATCAAATGAATCACACCTGCAAGCATCTTTCATTAATCGAGAAGAGTTTCTTTTTGTCATTTGCATTACACCTACAAGAAACTTTATACACCATTTGTCTAAACACAACATCAACAGGCTCACAAGACCCATTAAACAGAACACTATTCCTTTGAATCCAAATGTTGTGCACTGCTTCCGCTGAGAACATCAAATACAGCCTACTAGTGGGATCAGTCCTTCTACTCTTCTTAATAGCCCAATCTACTTCCTGGTTAAACCCTTGAACTGGTTTTTGATAGTTGAGAAGCCTCAAAAGCTTAGACCAAATCCTATTAGAGTAATCACATGTAAAAAATAGATGCTGCACACTCTCATTCTCTTGCAGACAGAGGAAGCATACAGGATCATATAGTTGGTTCCAGACAAGAATTATGTCTTTAGTTAGCAGTCTGTTCCAATTCGCCAGCCATAACAAGAACACACTCCTTGGTGAGGCACTATTATTACATATAATTCTTTTCCAAGAGACTTTAACCACCTGAGCCCTCAGTTTGCCATAGATTTTCTTAACTTGAGCCCTGTTATTATGAGTTACTGAAGTCCAACCTCCTAAATCATCAATCAAGCTTTTTTGTTTTAGAATATTTCGAAGAACCAAAGAGCATTTTTGAGGAGTTCTAGCTGTCCATAAGTCCTTACCTTTGAAATAGTAAACATGCAGCCATTTGACCCATAGAGAGTCAGCTTTATGAGTGATATACCATAGAATCTTACACACTGCAGCAGTATTCCAAACCTGAAGGTCAATGACATTCCAGCCACCACAAGATTTGGGTAAACATACAATCTTCCAGGCTACAAGGGCTTTCTTTGTAGGGTTTGCTTTCCCAGTCCAAATAAGGCTCTGAATCTATTTTCAATCTCTCTCACAATTTTTTTAGGCAAGATGAATATTTGAGCCCAGTAAGTTTGAATACCAAAAAGTACCCATAGAGTGACCCCCTAAAGTAAACCTCACTCTTAGAGAGGTTAACCACCAAACCAGAAGCCTTAGAAAACTTCTAAAAAGCACAAAACAGGAGCCTAACTGATTTTTCATCAGCCCTTACAACCATAAGGAGATCATCAGCAAACATGAGGTGAGTAATATAGAACTTTTTGCACCTTGGATGATAGTTAAAATCAAGCACTTTACCTATCTCATGCAAGCATCTAGAAAGGTATTCCATTCCAATAGCAAAGAGAAAGGGAGACATGGGGTCTCCTTGTCTTAATCCCTTTTTAGCTATGAATGGGTTAGTGGGAATGCCATTAATTAGGACAGAGAAGGAGACAGAGGTGATACATCCCATAACCCATCCAATGAAAACAGCAGGGAACCCAAGCTCACTCATAACAACCTTGAGAAAGCTCCATTTAATTGAATCATAAGCCTTCTTTAAGTCAACCTTGATTATACACCTAGGGGTAATATATTTGTGATTATACCCCTTTATAAGATAAATGGCCAATAGGATATTATCCCCAATGTGTTTCCCTGGGATAAAACCAGCTTGAGCCTCATCTACAACCTCCTCAATAACCTTAGCTAGCGTAGCAGTGATGATCTTTGAAATGACTTTAATTTGTAGAGCACAGTACAGCACACAATAGGTCTGAAATCACTAGCATAAGAAGGAGTTTGCACCTTGGGAACCAGAGTTAGGGAAGTACAATTCCACTGAGGGTTCATAATCCCAGTTTTAAAAAAACCATGAACAGCCTCATAGATTTCAAGTTTGATGATCTCCCAAGCAAATTTGATGAATATTTAGTTGTAACCATCAATCCCTGGAGCTTTCTCGTCAGAAATACTTTGATAGCATAGTCTATCTCTGAGTTGGTAACAGGAGCAGTGAGCAAGTTCTGAGCATCCATAGAAAGATGTTTCCCTGATCTCATAGTAACCAGGTCAATAGCTTCAAGAGAGGGACCACTAGAACCCATTAGCTGTTTCTAGAAATTAACAATTTCTTTCTCAACATCATCAGGGGCTTTAACCAGAACCTGTTGATCAGTCAAAATAGAATCAATGCTATTCCTAGATTGCCTGTGTTTCATCATGGAGAAAAAGTACTTTGTATTGGAGTCAGCAAGTACTCTCTTGAACAGACCTCTAATGCTTCAGTAGCTTCAAGATCCTTCAATTTAGAAGAGTAAGGAGCAGGAGTCATTTGCTCCTGAATTTCGAGGAGGGCCTGTTGAGCCATATCAACTCTCTCTTCCACATTACTGAAAGAGTTGAAATTAATTTCCTTGAGCTGAGCTTTCAACTTCTTCAGTTTTATCCATATTCTCTTCATGGGATTACCAAGAACCCCCAAACTCCAAACTCCTTGCACTATTCTCAGAAAATCAAGATGAGTAATAAGATGATTGAAGAACCTAAAAGGCCTTCCTTTCCCTAAGAGAGGGGGAAGGATCTCATATAACAAAGGGGTGTGATCAGACAGAGAAGGAGGGAGGTAAATAGCTTTGACATTAGGATACTGTAGAATCCATTCAAAATTAACAAACCCCCTATCAATTCTAGTGTGAGTGCTAGGGACATTGTGAGTTTTATTAGACTAGGATTAAAACGGCCCTTTATATTTGATCTCCATGAAGTTCAAGTCCTCAACAATCCTTCTGAAATCTCTGATTTCATAATCAGTTATCTCAGTCCTATTTAATCTGTCACCATCATAAAGCACAAAATTAAAGTCACCTGTGCAAAACCAAGGTAAGGAAACAGGACCAATAGCCCTTAGCCCCTCCCAAATATCCTTTCTATCATGAATACTATGCAAACCATAGACAACAATGGCCATCATTTTCTTGCTATAATCATAAGTACTAACAGTGCAATGAATAAACTGAGAAAGGACAGTAATCACCTCAACATGAAGTCTATCACTTCTCCAACCAAGCCAAATTTTGCCTTTCCCAGAAGCTGTATAGCTACAAACCCAGGTAAAACCATAAGTAATCCTGTTTTGTATCCCTTTACTGTTTTTCAGCTTAACTCTTGTCTCAAATAAACAGATTAAGTCAATGTTAGTTCTGGTAAGGAGCTGCTTCACATCAGCTACCTTACTAGATTAAGACCCCTAACATTCCATGTTGTGATAATCATTGCAGTGGAGGGAGCCCACCCTTGATTGGTTCAGTGTTCTGGTTACTAGGACCAGCTATTTCATCATCAGGTAAAATAACAAACTTGTTTGTAGTCAAGATAGTAGTAGTAGTCACAGCAATGTCTTTCCCTTTCTTTTTCACAATTTCCCAGTTTCCAGTAAATTTTTGGTTCTTAGGGGCTTGTCTCACTTTCTGAACCCAAACCTTTTTCTAAGGTTAGACCTTAGGAATAAGTTGGCTTGTAGGAGTTTTAACCTCATCACAATTGTGACCAGCCTTGTTGCACTTTTTACAAAAGGAAGGGGTCCATTCAAATACCACAGCTAGCTCTCCTATCTCTCCTATAGGGCTCTCAACCCAGACAGATTTAGGAAGGGGCTTAGTAATGTCAATTTCAACTAGAAGCCTGGCAAAAGAACTCTGAATTACCTTGATGTGCACTCATCAGCACAAATTAGAACACCTAGGGAGCTACCTATTCTACTCAGAGTCTCAGGGCCCCAGCAATTGAGAGGAAGATTATGTAATCTAATCCATAAAGGAATAGTGCGTAAAATTTCAGCATTGAAGTCAAATTTTTCAGTCCATGGTTTTACAATAACAGGCTTACCAAAGAACATGTGTGGTCCTCCACTTAAAACAGAACTCAAATTATCAGCAGAGCAAAGATTGATTATAAAGTATCCCTCATCATGCCAAAACACTTCAGGGTTATTAGTAAATCCCCGTTCATTTGCAATAAAACGTTTAATAGCAGCAATTGAAGGATAGTATCCAACAACATATAGCACAATAGCATTGCTCCACTTTTTTGTTCCTTCCTGAATTTCACTAGCAGGCAAGATAGTAGTGGACTTACCATCTCTAATTTGAGGGGGAACAAAACTCAGAGAAATTCCTTTTCCATTCAATTTACCATTGAAACCTAAATCTACATCAGCTCCGTTCCTAGTAACATCAGGCCCAATATCATGAGCTAAAATAGCTAAAGAATCTTGCAATCTAGGATTTGAAGTAATAACTTGATTGCTAGGCAATGGAACAGTAATCGGGGAAGGTATTGTTCCTAAGGATTTCAGGGAAAGTATTGTTCCATTGGTTTTAGGGAAAATTGACCCAAAACTTAGGGCTAAAAGCTCAACATCTCTTCTAGTAATCATTCCAGCAGAAGGATGAACCAGGCCAGGAGCTAGGGTTATAAGTTCATCAACTTCATCAAAAACCTCTTGAACGATTTGAAATCCAGTTGGAGCAGGCACAAAGAGTGATTCAGAAATTTCTTTAGTGATCTTAGAGGAAGCAGGGGTAGCATGCTTCTTTTTCCGTGCCATAGCAACTGATTTAGGGAAGAAATCCAGCAAAATTAAGCCACCATGGACACAAATCAAAGCTTTCTCTCTCTAGGGTTTTTCACTTTCTCTCTCTAGGGTTTTTCGAATGTGTGATTTCTCAATGTAAATGCATTTGACTTTCATTTGATTCAAATAGCTTTGTGTGAATGTGATTGAATTTCATTTAATTCAATTAGATTTGTAGAATGCATTTAACTTTCATTTGATTCAAATAGTTTGGTTTGAATGTGTTTGACTTTCATTTTATTAAGTTAACATTGTTGAATGCATTTGACTTTCCTATGATTCAAAAAGCTTTGTTTGATTGTGTTTGACTTTCATTTCATTCAATTAGCTTTGAAGAATGTATTTGACTTTTATTTGATTCAAAAAGCTTTGTTTGAATGTGTTTCACTTTCATTTGATTCAATTAGCTTTGTTTGAATGTGTTTGACTATCATTTAATTCAATTAGCATTATTGAATTCATTTGACTTTCATTTGATTCAAATAGCTTTATTTGAATGTGATTGACTTTCATTTGATTCAAAAAGCTTTGTTTGAATGTGTTTGACTTTCATTTGATTCAATTAGCTTTGTTTGAATGTGTTTGACTATCATTTAATTCAATTAGCATTATTGAATGCATTTGACTTTCATTTGATTCAAATAGCTTTATTTGAATGTGATTGACTTTCATTTGATTCAAAAAGCTTTGTTTGAATGTGTTTGACTTTCATTTGACTCATTGAGCTTTGTAGAATGTATTTCACTTACTTTTCATTCAAATAGCTTTGTTTGATTTTGTTTGATATTCATTTGATTTATAAAGCTTTGTTTGAATGTGTTGGACTTTCATTTGATTCAATTAGCTTTTTTTGAATTTGTTTGACTATTATTTGATTCAATTAGCATTATTTAATGCATTTGACTTTCATTTGATTCAAATAGCTTTGTGTGAATGTGATTGACTTTCATTTGATTCAAAAAGCTTTGTTTGAATGTGTTTGACTTTCATTTGACTCATTGAGCTTTGTAGAATGTATTTCACTTACTTTTCATTCAAATAGCTTTGTTTGATTTTGTTTGATATTCATTTGATTTATAAAGCTTTGTTTGAATGTGTTGGACTTTCATTTGATTCAATTAGCTTTTTTTGAATTTGTTTGACTATTATTTGATTCAATTAGCATTATTTAATGCATTTGACTTTCATTTGATTCAAATAGCTTTGTGTGAATGTGTTTGATTTTTTTCGTTTTTTTTGGTAAATAAAGTATTATTACCAAAAGAGCTGAAAAAACAGCACAAGATAGGTACAAAGGCCCAAAAGTCTAAACCAGACCAGACAAAGGCCAACAACACGAAAAAAGCCATGGCTTAAGCACCTCAGCCCACCTTCTAGGAAGGGTTTCCGAGAGCAAAGCACCAAACAAATTAACCTGAGCTTAATTGAACTAGCCTACCCTCTAGGAGGGCCAACTAGAACAAAAGGAACAGGACAAAGGGAGAATACACCATAAAACAGAACAAAAACACAAAAAACCTAGATAAAAACCAATTACAAAGCTAGGAAACTGGGAGCAAGACAGACAGAAACAATGAGAGCAGACCACACCCAGCAGAAACTCAACCAGACAGGAGCAAGCTTATCTACTTTACTCGCTTTACTTTCTTTTATTGTAGGTCTTGTCCGGGGCTCGGGATTCACTTTAGATGATTCTCCAAGTCTTTTGGATGCTCGGGACAAGACCTCATATCATTTGGTTTGCTAGAGTTCAAGATAAGAAGCAAGCTCCTACTCTTGGCATTAGTGCTCTCGTGCATCACCCTCATCACATGTCTTGGTCATCAACATGCAAAACTGAAGATTTCAAAGTTGATCCCCTCGTGAGCATCACGTGAGAGCATCGACCATGGGGATGCTTGGGCGCACAATTTAGGTGTGCAGCTGCTGCAAGCAAGCGCCACGCCACGACATTAAAGCACCGCGCCACTCCAATTTTTGCCGCGCCGCGGCATCAGCGTCGTGTCACGGCAGGTCCACCGCGTGACAGCAGGGAACACCGTGGCACGGCAGAGGGCACCGTGGCACGGCAACCTCATTTTATGCCTACTGCTCGTGCGTGCAGACCCTTGTGTGCGTGCGTGCAGACCCCCTTGTGCGTGCGCACCTCTAGGTGGCCGAGCCTAGACTTCCTACTACTATATATACTTCACTTGTTTCTATTTTTAGGGGACGACATAATTCTAGTACATTTTTAAGATTTTCCAGATTTAGTAGAGAGAGAAACACTTGGATATTCAATTTGTACTTCAATTTACTTTAATCAAGCTTAAATGTCCCCTTAATCAATGATAATTAGTGAGATTTCTTTAATTCTTCTCCTTTGGTTTGATCTTTAGTTTTTGATGTTTGATAATTGTTTTTCTTGATTTAAATTCTTGATTAGTTGCTTAATAATTTGAATTTCTCTTTGATCTTGATTTTCTCTTTGATTGGTTGAATATGATGAAAATCATGATTAGCCTTGTTTTGTTTCTTGAATTCATGATGATTAGTGAGTAGATTTCTTAGCTAGGGTGAAGGGGAAGCATGTTGATTGGTAGTTTGATGTTGATTTGGGAATTTTGATCAATAGATTGTTGCAATTAAATTGATTGATGAATGTGTTCATGTGTTTAGCATAAGAGGATTGATCATTCTTGAATTCTAAGCTTGATTGCATTGATAATCTTGATGACATGACCAATTGATTTGAGATTGTTAATTTTCATCTTGTTTGATTTGTGATTCTACTAATTTTTCATTCATTAAGGAAACCTAGCTTGGAAATTAGTCTACATAGCCTTTTGAACACTTTGAATGCATTTATCATTATTCCTTGCAACACTTGCTGGCTCAATTTACCCCAATTTAGCACCTCTATCATGAAAACATGTGGAACCTAATCCCTAGCATCTTTGTTATTGATTTTACCTCTTTTATTTGCTTGCTTTAGTTAGTTTGCCTGACTACACATTCATACACACTTTCGAAATAGCTTAACACATAGACTATAATAATTGACCCTCTATTCCTCCTGGATCGACTTGGACTTGCCCCTATACTAGGAGTAGGTTTGGGTATAAATTTTTTTGACTTGGGAAGACTAGCCTAATGATCCTAGTTTCACCCCATGTTAGTGAATAATGGTGCTTACTATTTGAGGGAGGAAGGTGACTTATGGTGGGCCCAAAGAAAGGATGAGTTGCTGAAAAGACCAAACTTTGGGTGGGATGAGTTCAAGGAAGCCTTGAGGGAGAAGTTTTACCCTACCTACCTAAGAAAGCAGAAATGCGTGGAGTTTACCAACCTGAGAATGGGGAGCATGTTTATCAATGAATACTACAACAAGTTCATTGAGTTGATAAGGTTTGCCTCGAAAGTAGTCCCTACCGAAACCATCAAAGCTTAGAGATTTGAGCAAGGCCTAACCTTGACCCTCCAAGGGAAGCTAGGGGGAGTGACCTTTGAAACCTTAGATGAAGTCTATGGCCGTGTAGTCTACCTATACGGAATCAAGGGGAGGGAGACGGAGCATGTTGGAGAGAAAAGGAAGAACCTGGACTCTTTTCACGGATGTGAAAAGAGGCATAAGCCCAATAGTAACAACCAGGGGAATTTTGGAGATAGGAGGGACAACAAGGGGAACTTTGGAAAAGGGAATGGGAGCCAATTGACTAATGCTAGAGGGAATGGAAACCAAGCGGGTGAAAGACCCAAGAGGAAATACATATGTAGGCGGTGTGAGAAAGACCACCTAGGGAAGGACTGTGAAGGGAAACTGGTAACTTGCCGTTATTGTCAGAAATTGGGACACCGTGAATACGAGTGTTACAAGAAAGAGGTTGACGTTAAGTTAGGGAAGGTGAAAGACTCTAGTGTTCCTAGCAAACCATCTCAGCCTAGTGGACCTACACCCAAGGTTAGAACTAATAGCGTTGCGGGAGGTGCCCCAAAGGGTCGTGTGTTCGTGATGAACACCCGTGAGGCTGAAACTGCTAATGATGTGGTAATTGGTTTTTTCCTTATAAGTTCTTTGCCTGTGAAAGTTTTATTTGATTTGGGGGCATCCCATTCCTTTATTTCTAAGAGAATAGCTGAAAGTCTCAGGTTAGTGAGTCCTGGGTCAGTTTCTCTAGATGTGTCTATTCCGTCTGGGGAAGTGAGGAATTGTTCCAAGTTGTTTAAGAATGTACCTATTTCCATTTCTAGGGTAGAATTTCCGCTAGACTTGATCGAGTTCGATTTGAGGAATCTCAATGTGATTCTGGGTATGGAATGGTTGGGAAATAAAAAGGAAAGGAAAAGTTCAGGGTTGAGAATTATTTCTGCAATGCAATTACAGAAGATGGTTAAGAAGGGTTGTCCTCTATTTTTGTGTAGTGTTCAAGAAATTGAAAGTATGGAAAAGAAGGGTGATGGAAGTATCCTGTAGTAGAGGACTTTCTTGATGTATTTCTAAATGAGATTCCTGGTATAACACTAGTAGAAAAAAATGAAAAAGGCACCGCACATTCCGCACCGGTTTTTGAAAACCGGTGCGAAAAAAAATTGGCGGGAATGGGAAATAGAGTTTTCGCACCGGTTCTAACCAAGCCGGTGCGACAAGTTAGTTTTTGGCACCAGTTCTAACTAAACCGGTGCGAAAAGTTTGTTTTCCGCACCGGTTCAAACCAAACCAGTGCCAAAACTCTTTCTAAATAAAAAAAAAAAACCCAGTCTCTTTCTTTCTCTTTCATTTCCTCATCTACATCTCTGCTCTCATCTAGCCTCTCTCTCCTCAAAAACACACCATCACCGAAAACTTAACCACCCACGAAATCAATCATCCAAGCCAGCACCGTTGCTAAAACCCACCAGTCCACCACCATCGCCTCTCTCTCCTCAGAAACCCACCATCACCGAAACCTAAACCACCCACAAAATCCCCTACCCCCACGAAACCCAACCCAGCACCTACGAAACACAAACCCACCCACTAAACTCAACGGCTCCACTGAAGCATGTAGGGTTTCGTAGTGACCCGACACTACGCGGAAGGAAACCACCTAAGACCCGCCCCTTGATTAAAGCAATTAACAAGCATAATAAACTTAATCAAGCAAGATTAAGAACAAGAATTATACCTTTGTTGCGTGCTTCGCTCCCGAAGAGCTCTACGAGATCTCCGACGGATCGTACCCTCGACCCGACCCGAGCGTCCCAAGTCTTGAAGGTTAGTCAAGACTCGGACAAACAAAACTATGAGTTTTACGAATCAAAGGTTTACTCTAATTACAAGAGTTGCCTTTTTAATTCCACTCAAGGTTGTTCATTTCCCAACATCCTTGAAGGGTATTTATAAGGAAATGGGTCCTTGTTTTTCAATCTCCCACCAATGTGGGAGAGTTGGTGAAATGATAATTATTCAATTCCAAAATTAAATGATTAATTAATTCAATCACAAATCGACACATGGCACAATAATAGAGAGAGCCAAATGAGGACCAAAGGCTTGGGGGGAACCATTGCCTTGATCCCCAAGCCATTGCTCCAAGCAATGGTCCCCTCATCCAAAATGGCTCACGTGCAAGGTAGTTGTGCTGCTCGCCAGCTAGCATGCCAGCTGGCCTCCTTTGCCAGCACGCACAGCACGCCCAACACTGCTGTTGCTCACTAGCTAGCCACGTGATGATGCTTGCTAGCCAGGCGCTGGTGCTGGCTCCTAGCACGCATCAGCCCTCCCAGCCACTCACACGCTCAGCCAATGTGCACAGGCACGCATAGCGCACTCATGCACGCATTGGCCCAGCATATGTGTTTGGCGATGGTGCTAGGCACATACACGCACATGCACTAGCATCTCATGCACACCCACGCATCCCCTAGCAGGCTTGGTGCGTAGCGATGCACTGCTGATGTGCGTGGCCTAGAAATGTGCTGGCACCCAGGCCCTCGCACACGCATGGTGTGCTGCTTGGTGCTGCCATGCGAAGGCTAGCACGTAGGCCAACACGTATGCTGCTCCAATGCAAGGCAAGCACCCATGCTATTACTTGGTGCTAGCGATGGTGCTGCTATGCTAGGCACTCACGCACGCCAGCACCTAGTGCAAGCGAGGGTGTGCCTGGTGCATGATGCTGGGGCTGCAATAGGCTAAGGCACAAGCACACACATGCACGCACTGGCCTAGCCATGCGATGGTGTTGTGCTTGTGCTGCGATGGTGCGATGGGCTGCGATGGTGCGCCTAGCACACCTAGTGTGCTTAGGCTTACGCCTAGCCATGCTAGGTGCTTGCTAGCTCGAACTAGCCTAGCATCCATATGGCTAGGCCAGTGTGGTGCTAAGGCTATGTTCATACTTGTGGCTTTGTGATTTTGCGACGCTTGGTCTCGACGCCCTAGACTCGATATCCGACGTCTATATTCGTAAAACTCTATCGACTCATTAAATCCTTTCGGATTAATTCGTTGTCTCGGATCAGTGATTCGATAAGATTAAGCTGTAATATCAATTGTACCTTGATATTACTGATCGGAAGCGGCCTCCACCAAGGCATTCCGATCACTTGATCTTTCTGAAGAATTAACTCTGTAATAATTTTGAACGCTCAATCGGAAGAATACACTTGTTGGAAGGACACCATTCCTTTCAATCTCCCACTTGTCCTTCCGGACAAGTGTGCATAAAGTGTATATCCCATTTCCTATGTCTCTTAATGTTTCTTCATGAACTATAAGGTAAGATTCATCGTCATCCTTATTACGTTCGAAAGTGTTTCTCGATCTCCGAGTTCGACTGTCAATAAGCAGATGATGTCTAAAATCCATCTAAGCACGGCCATGCATTTTCACAGTCTCGCTGTTCGAGCGGCCTTGTAAACAACAAAACATTTTCCCTATTGTTAATAAGGGGACAATCCCAGTCTTACATTGTAAGTTCCTCTTACTAAGAGGACTTAGTCTCCCGAGTGTTCCCGTTATGATCCCCAGTTACGGAAGACGTTAGGAAACATCAAAGAGTCTAGTACTCAAACAAGAAAACTTCAAAATACTCATGGTCGGAGGAAACAAGTTCCGATAGTTATAATGAGAAATGTACTTATGACAATTTTGAAATTTCTTAAAGTACTCTTATAGGTCTTATCCGGTACAGTTCCAAACTGTACCTGTGCAAATGATTTATGATTGTCACGTCCTCGCAGCACATGAAACGGTGCTGTAAATCATACTACACACTAATCTATGGTGGTCATCAATCGTCCATCAGTTTGATGACCTTGATTAGGGACAATTTTTGATTTAAATATTCAATGTTCACTTAACAGGTGTTTCTTTATCCAAGATATGGTCTTGATACCCTGTTTTGAATATTTCCGTAAATCGAATGGAGTCATTATTTAATTCTAAACCACAATTAAATAGTAATGGAGTGAATGATAATTTTGCACAAAAATTAATTACTCCATAAATGAATGCTTTCATTACAGTGTCTTACATTAAACATCGTAATTAATTAAAACACATGTACAGGGAATTTCAAAGCCAGTCTCCAACATGCTTAATTCCCATCGCCTGAATGTGCTTGTTGTGTTTCACTTGAGGTAACAGTTTAGTCAAAGGATCGGCTACATTATCATCTGTGCCAATCTTACAAATTCTGATTTCACCTTTGGATTTCCATTCCCTTATCATGTGAAATCGCCTTTGCACGTGTTTGACCTTCTGGTGCTCTCTCGGCTCCCTAGCCTGAGCGATAGCTCTATTGTTATCACAATAGAGGTCTATCGGCCCCTTGATTGAGGGTACAACACCAAGTTCTCTAATGAACTTGCGAATCCTAACAGCTTCCTTGGCGGCTTCTGAAGCAGCCAAGTACTCGGCTTCAGTTGTAGAGTCTGCAGTGGTGCTCTGCTTGGCACTCTTCCAGCTGAACGCTCCTCCATTCAGACAGAATACGTATCCTGACTGTGAATTCAAGTCGTCTATGTCAGTCTGGAAGCTAGCGTCGGTGTAACCTTCAACAACCAGTTCTTTGTGGCCTCCATATACCATTAATTTATCCTTGTTTTTTTTCAGGTACTTTAGGATATTCTTGGCCGCAGTCCAATGCGCCTCTCTTGGTTTCAATTGGTATCGGCTCGTTGCACTCAGGTCATACGATACATCTGGCCTTGTACATATCATGACATACATGATCGATCCGATCAGCGAAGCATATGGGATCTGATTCATTCTTTCTCGCTCAACAGGTGTCTGTGGACACTATTTCTTGCTGAGAGTTATGCCATGGGACATGGGTAAATGCCCTATCTTGGCATTCTCCATGTTGAATCGAGCGAGTACCTTATCAATGTAAGTACTCTGGCTTAATCCAATCATCCTCTTAGATCTATTTCTGTAGATCTTGATGCCCAATATGTAGTGTGCCTCTCCTAAGTCCTTCATTGAAAAACACTTTCCCAACCACCCCTTTACGGATTCTAGTAATTTTGTGCTGTTTCCAAAAAGAAGTATGTCATCGACATATAGGACTAGGAATGCAATATCACTCCCACTAACCTTCTTGTATACACAAGATTCATCTGGATTATTGATAAAACCAAACTTGCTAATGGCTTCATCAAATCGCAGATTCCAACTTCTGCTGGCTTGCTTCAGTCCATAAATGGACTTCTTCAGCTTGCAAACGTTTCCAGCGTTGCCTGGATCGACAAAACCTTTTGGCTGTGTCTTATACACAGTTTCTTCCAAAATTCCATTTAGGAAGGCGGTTTTGACATCCATCTGCCATATTTCATAATCGTAATATGCAGAAATCGCTAGGATGATCCGGATGGATTTTAGCATTGCAACTGGTGAAAAAGTTTCATCATAGTCAATCCCGTGGATTTGTCAATAAACTTCTTGCCACCAGTCTAGCTTTGTATATCGATACATTTCCATCCTTGTTTGTTTTCACTTTGAAGATCCATTTGCAACCAGTGGGAGTATTACCCTCGGGCAAATTCACCAAGTCCTAGACTTGATTTCAGACATGGAGTCCATCTCGGATCTCATGGCCTCTTGCCATTTTGCAAAGTCAGGCCTTGTCATAGCTTGCTTGTATGTCGTTGGCTCATCACCATCCATGACTAGGATGTCCTGATTATCGGTTAAGACGATACCGAGGTATCTGTCTGGTTGAGATCTTTGCCGTTGCGACCTACGAAGGGTAATTAGTTGAGCATTTTCATTTTCAGTTTCATTTTGAACAATATTCTTAGATGTTTCCAAAGCATCTAGATTGTCAGTTTTGTCAGGTTGACATTGTTGCTCGTCCTCTCGAACTTCGTCGAGTTCGATTTTCCTCCAACTTGTCATTTTGGAAAGGTGATCCTTCTCCAAAAAGACACCATCACGAGCAACAAAGACTTTGTTCTCGGATTTATTGTAGAAGTAATACCCTTTGGTTT